TTTTACAATTCTGTTTTAGTGATTTCCAAAGGCGAATGCTTCAGTCTTATTGAGATTGAATCATAGTTTTCATCTGCTTAATGTTATTTTTAAAACAAAAAAGGCTGCTGTTAAAGTTGAATTAATCAGTTTTACTTAAGTTATAATTCTGATTTGTTTACAACTGGTGAGTTTAATGTAGAATAAGTCAAAAAGATGTAATATTTCTGAGTTATAAATGCACAGTAAACTAATATTACAAATCATAGCTCAGTCAATATTTATTTAGCAACTAGTTTTTTCAGTTACTTTTTTCCATAGTAAGGGACTCTTTAAACTTTGGAAAAAATAAAATGAGTTTTTTTCAAACCAAAAATAAAAAAATTTAATTGAAATAAAATCCAAAATTTTATTCAACTAAAGTAGGTGTAAATTTCACTTCTTTCATTGCAGAATCACAAGTGGCCACTGGCTCTCTCAATATATTTTAAATTATAAACTATTCCCATGTTTTTGTTGTTGTTGTTTTTTTTTTTTTTTTTGGTTTATGCTCTTCTTATCCTCCATTAAAAAAAAACTTCCCCTATTTGGTCTAGAACCGCCACTGGTCTGGAATTGGGCCCAAATATCAAATTCCGCTCGTGTCTGCATACAGTCTTTGATTGGCTCTGTTTATGAATTTACAGCAGATTTTAATGAGGTGCATCTTGAGTAGAAGACTATGGAAGAGGATTAGGGCCACTGAAAAAATATAAAAAGTTACCTGATTTTTTAATATTATTTCAGTTTAATATGGGAAAAAACTAAGAATTCTGACTTTAATCTCAGAATCCTGACAGAATTCTGAAAGTTAACAAACGTGTCACCATCAAGTCGTTGCCATGTCTGTTTTAGAGACTAGCTCTCTTGTTTTAATGACCTTTTGCATTTCCATTAATGAAATAGCATCACAGGGGACCCCTCGGGCATGTAGAAAGTTGCCTAATTTCGTAATTTTTCACCATTGTGTCACTGGCCCTCCCAAACAACTCACATCTTTGCCAGTGAATCTGAGTGCTCCCACTTCTCTTCCTTCATGGTTCCCATCTACATTAAGATCCAAAATTCTAAGATTAAGGTCAGACTTCTGAGAAAACAGTCACAATTTTGAGATTAAAGTCAGATTTCTGAGATTAAAGTCAGATTTCTGAGATTAAAGTGAGAATTTTGAGATTAAATTCAGAATTCTTAATTTTTTTTCATATTTTACTGAAATAAAATTTTAAAATCTGTGAAGTTTTATTGTTTTTTCAGTGGCCCTAATTCTGTAGAAGACCCATTAGATGCAAACAAATGATTCCCTTCAGTCATAGGTTGAATGTCGCCCACTAGTGGCTGATCTTCAGCACTGCACGGACTGATTGGAGAGTCCGCATTCCTAACAGTACACACTCCGTGAGAAGAGTTTTCGCCTGCGAAAACGGATGCTAATCTGAAGGAGCTTGATGGATTAATTAAAATTAAACGAATTAGTGACGCGGGAATTGTTGAAGTCTCGAACAAGCGACAACAAAGGGCAACAACACATCAAACCACAGAGCTCCAGACTGAGTGGAGCCAGCAACTTCTGCGAGAGAGACGTCCCAGAGCCTCAGCACGACCACCGTAAGACTGTACATACAACACGGAAACATGCAAAAATAACTGACACTACAGTGACATCCCTAATACTTCCCCATATAATTGTTTCTTGAGATCGTGTTTTAAACAATTTTCGCCAAACTTCCTTTTTAAATGTAACTGGGGGGGGGACGTTTGTTAAGTTAGAGCACTCTGGATCATGCGCAAGATGAAACATGTAAATGTTATCAAAAACGCCCATAAATATCATATTATGGGTAGATAATATAGAATTGATTAATTTAATGTTATATGTCAGTGTTGTTCGGAATTTAGATATTTTTTTTTAGGAGCGTTACGCCACATTAAGATACGAACTATTTTTTTTTCTTTCGCTGCGGCGGAATGATACGTGTGGTGTTTCCAGACGCCTGGATCTGGAGGATAGGACTCGGCGCGAGGAGAAGCAGAGGAGGTTCAGGGTAACCGAAGCGAAATTATAAGTAGCAAAGTTGGGTTTGTGGGTTAAATATTCACAAAAAAACGACAATAGGTATGGATTATGACCTCAACGTAAAGGTATGTTGCTAATTCACGCTTCTACCATTGACTTAGAAGGTTGAAAGTGAAACGTATAGAGCTCCATCAGTGTTGTGTTGAACGCTCAGTCGGTCCCACCGAGTAGGGCTAGGCTAACGGCTAGCACAGATTAGCCTTGCGTCACTTATTAGAAGTTTGAAAAGTTTCTCGTTTGGAGTAAAACAGGACAGGAAGAAGTATCTTAGGCTGCATAGATACGGTTAAAAAGCGTATTTTTTAGCAGGGGTTGTTTTAAAGACAATGTATATAAATATTGTACGTTATTAAGTAGTTATGGTTACTTTTTGTTGAGCGTCTGACATTACCTTTACGCTAAACAGTTTCTGTTCTGTCTTAAAAAAGAACAGAAAAAGCTAGGCTAGTTATCTTTTTCCTAGTGGTGGGATTCCCAATGGTGCTCTCTTCGCAGAATTTGGAGTATTTTATGGAATAGTAGTTGTGTAAAGCCCCGGTAGCGCTGTAGGCTAACCTTACTACAGTTTGGGGGTTTGTGTAACGTTACACGGCGCTTTCCGAGGTCTCCTGCTCCCTGTGTCTGGCTGGGAAAGCGCTTCACCGATCCGTTGTTCCAAGTTGTCATTTCCCTAAAGGTTAATCTTGACCAGAACTTCAAACTCTCTTGATCATAAGGTTGAAATAATGGGCCTTTAAGGTTTAAGCTTGCCATCTTTTTTTTTTTCTTGTCCGTTCTGTAAGGAAGCTGCATTGCGGCCTTATAGATCTGGGATGATTTGCTTTCTATAGGATCTGCTTGGCCACTTAACTCGCGCTTTGGTTTGATCTCTAGCAATGTTTGAGTTTATATATGTTTCTAGAACTGTCGATCATGTGACTAAACACACTCACACACACTGATATCTAACTTGTAACTTTCGAGTTGCTCAAAAATCCTGATAAATTCCATGATTCATCTTGCGTGGTGGTGACAAAGAATTAGGTGATGAGTAGGAAAGTATTTTCCCAACCATGTGTTTCATAATCCGTCCATGCAAATGTGTTTAAGGCTGATTTGATCTCTTGTCTTTGATGGTTAAAATATGATAAGCTATCATGGTTAACTGTAAACTTGCCAACACTGATTTTATTTTCAAGTCTCACCTACCAATTCCACTTTTAATATGTTCTGCTTGTTCTCAGGGCTATAATACATCAGGGGGAATCATGTGCTCCAGGTTATTTGATATGATGTACAATTTTACATCCGGAAAAATAAAGAAACAAGTACTTATTTTACCATATGCTGTGACATTAACATGTAGGATTTATGTCATTTTTTGAATAAGAAAATGAGCAATGCCCAAGTCAGGGTGCAGCCACTCCAGGCTGAGTGACAAATACAGAAATCTTGAATCTTTTTCTAGCTTTCATACATTGTGATTTTGACCAATTTATGAAGATATTTTTACCTTAACTTTTGTGGCTTCAGAAAAGTTAATGCAAAGTTTGTAGAGAAAGTTACCAAAGCAATCACATCTTTGGAAAAGGTTAAATTTTCAGACAGGAAATGGAGGATTTGCAAATTACTCACCTTCATTTACCAAAGTGTTTGCGTTTAACTTTTTCTGACTCAAAGCCTCTGTTTTTATCTGAATCGAACAAGGCAAACGTTTTTAATTTTTATCCGACTCAAACAAAAGTACCTACTGTGTTGGTGATCTCATAGGCAGAAAATGTTGGGAGTTTGGATGTTTTCATGAAAAGTTTTTCACTATTCAAACTACCAGTCAGCAGTTAAGGCTCATCTGCGAACCTATTGACTTGTGCATTTGAAAATTATCAATATTGATTTCTAATTGACATGTTAATTTGTAAAGGGTTGTAGGGAATCATCTTATTAAATAGTTATTGAAATAGTCGTAAACTAATCAAGTGATTGGAGTAAATCGTTACCTACAGTAATGGGTCCATATCATGCTGTTTGTTGAAAGAATAACCTAGGTATTTAATACAAAATTCTCGAAATATAAACATTTAGAAATATAAAATAGATATACATCAAATATTGAATTGGATACAAAGAAGTGTTTGTATTATTATGTTATGTTGTTTCATTTGCAGTTCATTTTAAATGCAAATTCAGACAATTGGTTTTTTTTTTTAGAAATGTGAATTTATCTAAAGCATCTCTTTTTAGATTATTTGGAAGAAATGGTTGGGTGGGTGCAGCCCTAATTTGTAATAAATATTAGCTGACGCCTCATATAAATATGGTTCTCTTTAGTCGGAGCAAATTGATCTTTCACTTTAGAAACAGCTGACCTATAAATCCTGCATTGCCGCGACCTTGTGAATGCAAAAATAAATTCACAACATTTGCAGGCTGATAATGTATTTGTTTCCAGCTCGTGTCCTCCCTCCTTTAGTTTCCTTTTGCTTTCATGTACGCACAGAACAATGAGCGGTGGCAGTGGGTGCACCGCTGTCGGACAGCTGTGGTCTGGAAGGGAGAGATGGAGGGGGAAACGGCCCTTGTGGTCACATCCTTTCAGACCAACCTAGTTTCACAGGCCCCCAACAGCTGCCTTCGCTGCCGTAGGCGACATGTGTTTGACCCCGGTTTGATGGATGTGCATCATATTGAGTGAAGGGCGAAATATATCATCGCAGAGTTTGACAAGGCATTTAGAGTCCAAGCATCTCTGCTGAAGCTGTAGTTTAAGTGAGGAATGTTGAGGGATTCAGTAGCGCATGAAAAAACAAGTTTGCAAAGGAATCGAAATCTAAATAATGTCAGGCTTCTCTCGTTTTTCATATATTATAAAAGGCATTCATGATTAATTTTGTAGTTTCATTAAAATAAATGTTCTTGATCTTTGTTTCTTTTCTTTTTTTTCTGTCTTCTCCTGTATCTGCAGAAGCGTGGAGGATCAGAAGACTAACGCTACACTTTGTGGGAAGGCAGCCTCCAGAAGAGCAATGTTGGTTTCCTTTTAAATCGTGTGTCAGACGTTTGCCGGTGAGACCTGCTGCTGCGTTCTGATCTCAGCTCCCTCCATTTGCACCCCCACCTCTTCCCATCATCGGTGTTGACCCTTCTCCGGACAGCTTGCTGGAGGGCCCTTCCTGACCAGGAGCAGCTGCGTCCTGCTTGCTGACTCCCGTTCCTCCCTTGCTTCCTGTCCTTGGTCAGACAAGGCTAAAGCCTCCTCTGCGTTTGCCCCACCCATCATCTCTGCTGGCCTCCTGTTCTCTGGTACACTTGTATTCACGCCCTCAAGCCGTTGTTCATCGCTCATCCAGACTTTTTAAGAGTATTTTTGCTGTTTGGAGATCAAAGGCGAGGAGCTTTTTAATCGCCTAGGACAAACCGGGACTGACCAAAAAATCCCAAAGAACCTCCTTTCCAACTATTTCATAGCTGGCAGCATGACTTCAATGTCAAGTCTGTTCTCTTTTACCAGTCCTGCAGTCAAACGGCTGCTCGGCTGGAAGCAAGGGGATGAGGAGGAGAAATGGGCAGAGAAGGCAGTGGATGCGCTTGTGAAGAAACTGAAGAAGAAGAAGGGCGCCATGGAGGACCTGGAGAAAGCCCTGAGCTGTCCGGGACAACCCAGCAAATGTGTTACCATTCCAAGATCGCTGGACGGTCGGCTCCAGGTTTCCCACAGGAAAGGCCTCCCTCATGTCATCTACTGCAGAGTGTGGCGCTGGCCGGACCTGCAGTCCCACCATGAGCTAAAACCTCTGGAGGTGTGCGAGTACCCATTTGGCTCCAAACAGAAGGAGGTCTGCATCAACCCTTATCACTACAAGCGAGTGGAGAGTCCTGGTAGGTTCTTTTAGTCCAAATGATTTTATTTTTCAACTACCAAGTGTACTGTGTGAAAGTCTCTCACAAAATAGCAACAAAGTGAAGCAACTATTCCTTTTTAGACCTGAAAGAAGCGAATCTTCAGAATTGTATGGCCCGTTTTTGTGTCTGGTCTTTGAAATGCATCAGTCTACCCATTAAAATATCCAATTCAGATTTGGGTTTAAAAAAAATACAATATAGGAAACTACAAGATCACAATTTTGCTTCTGTTTGCCAGCCTTTCTTCCGTTAGTCGATCTCCAGTTGTTTATATTTGGATCAGAGGCAGCTTCACAGTTTGAGTGAGAGAGCAGATGCTGTAAACAGGGTTTTACTCTTTTAAAGGAAAGCCAAAATGGTCATTATACCATGATTTCATTCTTCCCCCATTGTCTTGGCTCGGTTGGCTAAGCTAATGTTACTCGTATTTCCAGGCGATGCTAAAATCCATTTCCAAAAATCTGCCAACTAGCCTCCTATAGCTGCCAATATGAGAATGGGCAATTACAATACTGTAGGTAAAAAACTGTAGGAAAGAAATCCAGTTAATCTAGAAGTATTACTGACTCTTCAATGTTACTTAATCTTCCCAACGTGAATTTTAGTGTCTCACTCAAAATACACTCCGGGGTGGCCATTAGGGGTAGTTTTTTTTTTATTTTTTTTTATCTTTCACACTCTTTTGCATGCAGTATTGCACTGATGTTCATATTTGGGTTGTAAGTGGACACTTTGTGCAGCTCTACTTCGAAATTATAAAAACCCAATAGAACCAACAGCTACTGAAAGCCCTGATATATTAAATCTCTGCTTTACTCTTGTTACCTTTTATCAGCTAAGTGTCACTCTCTCTCTCTCTTTCTCTCTTGCTGTCTGATTTAACCACAGGCATGCCTAAACATGTCGTAAAAAGTATTCTTCCTTTTAATTTAATGTTGTTGGGTTTTTTTACCTCTCTGTATTCCTCTGGCTTCATCCTTTAACTTCTCTCTGATCAAAAAAATGTTTAACTATTTTCAATCCTGTGAATCTGAGCTAGATGGGATTTTTTTACTCGAGGTAATCAGGGAAGGAGTCCTGAAAGGCAAAGGCGTTTTTAGACGTCCCATTCAGCTTGGTTAAGAAGTCACAGATTTAAAATAACACTGAATTGTAAGGATCAGCTCAGCAGAGTCAGATTCATATTGAGGATACTGAAGAAGAACACGTCTGCTATTTAAAATTCTAAATGTGTTCCGGCTGCTTGGATGAGGAAGGGAAAACCAAGTTTCTGTGGAGGAAATCTAAAACTAGAGACTCATTCATTGGTATTTGTAGTCCATCCTTTTTATGTCTAATTCCGCCACAACAATCCCGCCCCCTTGATAAACGACCAATCGCATTTACTTTATTCACTCGTGTAAAGTCGTGCACCACTCGGGAGAATTCAGAAATGCAACGGTTGGAACAGTGGCTTCCCTACGACTTTAAGGATTAATTTTTTATTATTTACCATTGCAATACATCAGTATATACAATATCAATCATTTGGGTCTTTTTGTGTCTCTTAAACTACTTGAACCAACTTAATAAATTGCCCCCTCCCTCCTCAGCATTAAAGCAAACATGTATGTACCTATGAATATACTACATACATGCATAAGTCCCCCTGGCCCCCATGGTAAACTAGACGTCACATTAACAGTCTAATTGGACCTACCTTTTTTTGTGTTGTGATAAAAAAAATATGGAATAAAAAATGTGGATATAAAAAAAAAAAAAAACCCCGAAACAAAATCATAATGGAAGTGCAGAAGCGTCATAAAAGCTTTAAAAGTGAAATAATATAATTTCATTTTGTACCTTTGCGATACAGTCCTGTTTTGGTCACAAACTGTCAGTTCTCTTGAAATAAGACCAATAAAGAACTGAATTCCTTCCAGTAGTCAAAAGCTAATGTTAAGTGGAGAAAGTCCAACACATCAACTGGACCATATCTTCTGTTTGTAATAAAACATTAAAAAAAATTTTTTTGGAATGTGGTCATTAATTCCTTATTGCGCTATAGTACTGTTAGTTTTTTCTTCTTTCATTTTAAATATTGGTTTGTTAAATTTGGGATAAGGGTGTAAGGTTTATCATGTGAATGAAAGAAGAAAAAGCAACATACTGGGGGTCAGTTAGACTGATCGGTATCAGAATTGGTCATAAACACCTATACTGGTTAATCTCATGCTTTTAAGAATATTATTAAATCTGTTAAGTTGGGATGCATGTCATCGAGTAAGTGAATTGATCCCATCAATCATCTAACGATTATAAATAATGGTTACATTTTTTTAATATATATGTAATTTGATGAAAGAAGAAGCAGAATCCCTCGTGACCATAGCCAGTGTGTCTGTTTTTTTTCCTCCCTAAAGAACACAAGCATTTTTAATGTTTGGGATACTCCAAGCTCGTATCAGTTAATTTAATTCCCAAGTTAGAATTGTCTTTATTTTAAAGCTGCGGAACAATCCAGCATGTAAATTTTTTTTCAACCAGTCTGGAATTTGGTGCTTTTTCTTTTCCTTAGAGCCTTTTTTTTAACAGAAACAAAGTAGGGATGTCTGTGATTTGTGGTGCTTGTTTAACACTGAGGAGAGGAGGTGATTGTGCCAAATCAAATAAAAAGTGGTGTTCTATTAAGGGCTGAACCACTTAATCGGATTGTGATTAATCGATTATTGAAATACATATCAACTAATTTAGTAATCGATGACTCGTTAACTCCCGTTATTCATTAACTCTATTTTGCATTTCATATAATTTCATATATTCAATATGCTCTACCCAGGATTCAAGTGGAAAAGTTTTACTTTCATCTGGTTTAATTCTTTAAAACATCGTCTTTAAGGAACCTTTTGGTATCCGATTATTAACTGATTGCGTTTTGTAAATGGAAGCACAAATGCCAATATCAGTCCCCTTAAAAAAAACGTAAGCACATATGAGGGATCGGTTAAACTGGTGTAAAAAAAAAAAAAACACACTCTGCCTTAAAAAAGCATACATTGTGATAACGTCTAATATTAAGGCATGTAAATGCAAATTAGATTAATTGAAGATGCTTTTAGAACATTATGGACTACTAGGTTAGGTAGGAATCAGGAAAATGTTTTTAATGGCTTTAGGAGGAAGGAGTATGATTAAATAGCCTCTTCAATCATAAGCACTGAAATATACATATTATCTAGTATTGAGTTTTATATATAATTTAACATGATACATAATGTTAAATTAGTAGTTTTACTGGATTATCTGAATTAAAGATATTCATTCATATGTTTGGAAAAGAAGCTTGAGGTGGAGAAAAGGCTAGAGAATGGGGAAATGGCAAATTTCAACAAAAGTGGCTGGAAAATGAGGAATTCGGGACATGGCTACAGGCTGGCAACAGTAAAGATAATTAAGGATTTTGCCGTGTAAAATATATATATAATTTAATATGATACAGAATGTTAAATTAGTAGTTTTACTGGATTATCTGAATTAAACTTATTCATTCCAAGTCCCTTATTCCTGCACATCTGTTTGGCAATCGAAATAGACTATCAGTAGTAAGGAGTTTTGTATTTTTATTTATTTAGTTCTTACTTAAAAATCAGGGTTTAGTTGTTTTTGTTATTGTATTTGGAATAAAATCCTTGATAAATTGCTTTCTAAGCTGTGCAGATGCTTTAAAGCTGGAAGAGCCTGTAAACAAATCCACAAAGGTCAGCAGGCAGTGATCATGCAGGCCTGTCCAACCCGCCTCTTCCATTTCACAGAAAATCAATATCACTAGCTCTAGGAGTCTTATTAGATTATATAGCCCAGGCACTCCAGTTTGGGTGTGGCATCAGAAAGCGGCTCTCTAAATGCATAAACCACTCAGGCTTAACTCCCAGCACTCTCTCTGCTCAAACCTCCCTGCTTGCCTCCTAATGTCATTCACACAGCCAATAAATATAGTAAAGAGTGACCCTGACAGGACAGCCTTTCCGACACCAGGCTTTTTTCAGATTGCCAGCCCTTTATTGACTTGTTCACGGATGTGGATCGCGTGTCGGTCAGGAGAGGCTGCACACTGACAGCATTTCAGCAAGAGCTTCCTGAAGGGCTTATATGGGGATGGGTCTTCAATGGAAAGGAGACAAATCATATTTCAATTTATAATCACTATTTAACTGCTTTCTTTACATTTTGGAATAGAAGCTGTGTGCATAATAGTCTTGATCTGGTCCTGAACACTGACTAGTTCATTATCCCACTATGGCATTTATACACTATCATCACTTCCAATATTCCTATTAAACTGAATGTTATAGGGCATACAGGTAGTAGGTTTCTAACATGTTGAAGCAAGTTTCGGGCCAAGCTGGGAGGATTTATGCTAAGTTTTAACCAGTCAAACATACTTGAGCTGATTCTGATTTCTTTTAAAGACCATTTTTTAAGATTTTCTCGCCTTCTTTGAGTGAACGGTAATAAATCTGGGTGATATCACACCGAGACTAGTTGTAATTAAGCAGCATTTTACTGTCTTAAACAAAAACATAACAAACAAAAAAAATGTTTCTTTAAAAAACTATGCTTTACTTGTATTGCCTAAACAGATGTTGATCCTTACCCTTACTTTGAGATGTTCCTATGTTTCTAAATCCAGACCAGACAGCTCAAACCTTAGAAAAGCGGAACAACTTAACATTTCTCCATCCATGCTTTCATCTGCCTTATGTCTCTCTGACTCAGTGATGGGCGGAATGACAGCAACTTTTCCTGTAGCTTTTAAAATGGCTTCAGTCTTCTGAAGCCTTTGTTTTAAACACTTCTGATGCTAAAAAACAAATAGCTTTGAACTCTTCTTCGTTTTTCAAGTTACTTCAACACACTGCTAGCATTCCAGCGTGGCAGCATTCGGTTTGATGTGTTTATGTTTGAAAAAGATTTAGGGCTTAAAACGATTCTTCAGATGTTCTATTACCTCTATTTATAAAACTCTACAAGGCAAGTAGTTGGCCTAAAGGCTACTTTGAATGATTTTTTATATATATCGTCATGAATTTAATGTCGGATTATTAATTTTAAGTTATCTTCTAAAAAATGAATTAAAAGAAAGAAGTCCTCAAAAAATGTAATACTTAGATTGATTGATTGATAGAAAATTGAATTTCTTTAAAAACTTTCAATAGGCTTTGTGTGTGAAGGACCAGCTCTACCATATTTAAAAATAAATACATAAATAAATAAATACGCATACAAATAATTGCCCCCAAAAATACAATAAACAAATAAATGTGGGTAGACATTGAATTATGCAGTGACACATAAATGTATCTCTTTTAATTAGCTTCTTTATTTATTCGCCTTTGTAATGATTACATTATTTATTTATTTATTGTACGTTATAATCTTCAACTTCATTTATTACTAATTACTTATTTTTTAAGTATACTTATATTTTATTTATTTGCTATATTTTTGTCTGTTTTTGTAATTTTTTTTACCCTATTTATTTCTTAATGCTATTTATTTCTGCCCGTCGTTTTTTTTTTACATTTTGTGTGCATTTCTGCCTCATTAAGCAAATGAGTAAGGGGTGTGCCTTAGAGGGTCAACTTTATTTATTTCTGTATTTATTTTTAAATATGGTAGAGCTGTTCCTCCTTATTTATGTCCTAGAGGCGTTTTTCGGTTTTGTTTATAACTCAGTGAAAATAAACATTTTGCAAACAATGTTCCAGAATAATAAATTTTGTCTTTATAAAGATATGTATAAGCTTTTGTTTTGCTATTGAGAAATAACTCAACAAAACTGTAGCTAAATGTAAACTCTAACCTATTTACTAACATTGCAAATGGGGAAAAAAGTTATTGCTTAATTAATCAATCTAAAGTTGATTGAATTTATTGGCCAACTAATGATTAATGGATATGTGTGTCTTCTCAGAGCCTGAGTCATCTCATTATGTTTTAATAATTTATTGTTCTGGCTGTGTTGGTTTTAGGGCTGGGTGATATCGCTAATCTGTCATTTCTTTTTTTAGTCATATTTGACGATTTTAATTGAAGCATTAAAAACATGAATGTATTTTAAAATGGGTACTTTTAAGTAAGAAATATTTAGCCAACAATAAACGTATTGTAAAAAAATTTAAATTTGAATATTAAAGTCGTAGATGAGTCATATTTAAATGTCAAATAATTTGGCTTAAACAGAACAGAACAACTGGTTGTGAGGCAAGGGCTCAAACATGTACGGCTGTAAGCTTTCTACACCAAACCAAGCTTCTGCCGCCCTGGCGTCCTCTTCCTCAACAACTTCGTCCCCGCTTTCCTCCTCTAAATAAAAAATGTATGTCGAAGGAAATTCATCCACGACCTCCGACACTAAACTCTCCTCCTCTTGCATGTTTCCGCCGTTTCTAAGTCACCAATTTAGTGCTACTTGGTCCCAATGGAATTTCCCATTGGGAACCTACTCGCACTAAGTTGCTAACTGGTTAGCAAGATGCTTCCGACAAACCGGCCACAACCAAACCTGCTTGCGAACCTTTCGCCACAACAATCCCGCCCCCTTGATAATCGACAGAGCACATTCACTTTATTCACTCGTGTGAAGTCGGCCACCACTCAGGAGAATTCAGAAATGCAACGGTTGGAACAGTCATTTCCCTACAACTTTAATAACGTAAATCTTGTCCAAGTAACACAAATGTTCAGCCAACAATAATTGTACTGATATTTTATCAGTAAAAGATGTACACCTATATATTCAGTACAAGTGCAAGAGCTGTTGAGAGCCCAGTTCATGTCCATGTAAAGCACAGTTAAACTCATGTACAATGAACCCTCGCTATAATGCGGTCCACTTTTCACGGTCTTGCATCATGCATTGTTGAACTTTATTGTCAAACATATTAATGGTGGCATGTCGGTTTATAAGGATCTTTTGGCCCAGAAGAAAAAAAGAGCGACACAACTACCGATAACTATGTTCTTCTCTCCAAAAAACACACCTGCACCGCAGGCTTTAGAAGAAAAAACGCCACAGAGCAGAGTCAGGATGCATCGGCTCCGTCAGAACAGCAGTGAAATACTGTACTGTACATGTCAGTCACTATTTGTCCTACTGTACTTTGTATTTAAAAGGTTTCTACTTCACGGATTTCACCTATCACGGGTTCTTTTTGGAACGTAACCCCCGCGATAAACGAGGGTTCACTGTATGGCAAAAAACAGGAACCTATTGGGTCACTGAATGTATAAAAGATTAATTAAAATATGTTAAACTCTTATCATTTCTAATGGAAAAAGATATAAAACTATTATTAGCACACAGGGTATGCCGCTCTCATACTGTCACACTATTTACCGCTTTGTTTCAATGAAATTGAGGCTAACTGTGTTGTAGCTCTGTTTTCTTGTAATCTAACATTGAGAGCTGGGAGAGACTTGGGCCTGCTGTCATAGCTTTTAGATGTATGGTTCTGTTTGCTATAGGAGGAATATTTAAACTGGCCTGTGTGTAGTGCATTAACTTACAAAAGCCTTCTCCATCTACAGTGCTAATTGCTAGCATGGCTTTTTCTATTATATTACAAACATTTTATCTAATTTCCTCCGCTTTTCCATCACCTCACCTTCTGATCTCAGGGTTGAAGCTCACAGTTTTGTTGGTATTAGAAACGCTGTCATGGTATTAAAAAGGTTTTAAATTCAGTGTAAGATTACCTTTATATACCCTGCAACAATTTTATTTTATTTTTTTGTGCTTTAAGAGGTTTGCTGAATAAACAAGCTGCCTTTGTTTCTGTTCTCCCAAATTTGATTTGGTGGATAATGACTTGTGTTTTCTGCATTTGTGTTTGTTCACCATTGATAAAAATGTGTTTAAACTTAAGCAATGTTTAGTTGTGACTTTCTATTCGATGCAAATCAATGTTTACTTGGAGAAATATGCATTCAGCTTAATATTTTGCATGTATGTTTTTCTGTTTTCAACACATTTCCCTGTTTTCTCCCACCCAGTCCTGCCACCCGTCCTGGTACCGAGGCACAGCGAATTCAACCCACAGCACAGCTTGCTTGTACAGTTTCGTAACCTCACCCATAACGAGCCACACATGCCCGGGAACGCCACCTTTCCAGACTCCTTCCCGCAACCACACAGCGGCAACAGCAACGGAGGAGGAGGAGGATCTTTCCCCATTTCTCCAAATTCTCCATATCCTTCTTCTCCAGCCAGCAGCGGTACCTATCCAAACTCTCCAGCCAGCTCGGGGCCTTCCAGTCCATTCCAACTCCCAGGTACTCCAAGCACACTCCTGTACTCGACCCTGGGAAGTCTGCCAAACCATTGTTTTCCTGGGCTGTCACTCTTCTCTTATGCAACCAGAAAAGATTCACAAATGTATCTGAGGAGTTCCACTTGTTTATATACAGGAAAAAAAATCTATTTGTTTTTAATCATAACATTAGAACAGGTAGATGAATTTGAACCAACCTACTAGATTTTGCCCCCAAAAAACAAAGGTTTTAAAGTTCTCTTAATGGGGTGTCTGACATATCTGAAAGAGTAAATTTGTTAAAGAGGAGAGTGAAACATATTTATGAAGAAGCTCTATTAGCAAACATTTCTCTCACATGACTGATCAGCTGTTTCTCTGTCCGGCCTTCTTAATGTCAGCATTAGAATCGCATTTCCTTCTCCATGTTGGCATGAAGCATCACTAATACTAGCTGAAATTATGGAGTAAAAAAAACTCCTGATCGCACCAAATTTATTAAAACCTTCTCTTCTTGATTAATCCTAACGTGTGACATTACCGTCTGCATCGCCTGGTTAATTCGCTCCAGTGGATGGAAACTCACCTGATTTGCATTTTCTTTTTTGTGTGAAAAGTTTGCTTTGGATGTAAACACAGCTACTGGTTTTAATATAAATAAAATGTTCTCATCCTCTCATTATATAATTTTTTAAACCTATATCCTTCAAACCAAATGTAATGTAATGATATTCTTTGTCAACCTGAGCTATAATTAGATTTTAACCTCAAACACAGGGATTTGGAAGCAACTAGTCCAACCAGATGAAGAGTTTTATCCAAATCAAACCACCTCGCTTTGTGAGAACAAAGGAAGTGCCAGCTAAGCACTGCCCATCAGAGCCAAGGCATCTGTCTGCAGTAAAAGCATCAGCTATGTCCGTCAGGAAGCCCTTTTTTTCATCATGAATGTATAAGATCAGAGGATGTAGAGCTAACCTGCTTAAACATTGTATAATTTAAGATGTATGTTTAGCTAAACACACTGGATGCCTGCTGTCTTAAGAAGGTTCACAAAGAACTCCTGCAACAACTTGTTTGGTGCTGCAGTGATTTAGCATCCATGTCTGCATGAACAATGATAGTTTCTCCTGTTGGCTTCAGAAAGACTCGGATGCCTCGCTGCATCTCTGTCGGGAATGGGTTAGCATGTGGTTTAGAAGTGAGGCGTATGTGTAATCTAACACCATTTCCGGGGTACAGCTCCTGTGATGATTGTCTAGGGACATCTCTGTGTGTATGTGTGTGTGTGTTGGTGTGTGTGTGTGTTAGAGAGACCATTTGCCAGAAGCAGCAACAACTGGTCTCATCCATTGCTAACTGCTTTTCATGTCTCAGCTGACACCCCGCCCCCGGCCTACATGCCCCCCGAGGAGCAGCTGGGTCAGGACAGCCAGTCCATGGAAACGAGCAGCGGCATACCTAGAGGTGGGAAGTAACGGCACCGCCGTGCAGTTTTCTCTTTAGTTCAGTTCTGTTCTTAGTTAAAGCAGATTTTTGTTGTTGTTGTTGTTTAAACACAATATTAAGTTTTGTTTTTTCTAACAGTGTCCTACGGAAGAGGATTAGGGCCACTGAAAAAAAAAAATGTTAACTGATTTTTCAATTTTGTTTCCGTTTAATATGGGAAAGTCAGAATTCTGACTTTTTTTTTCTCAAAATTCTGACTTTTTTTTTCTCAGAATTCTGACTTTTTTTTTCTCAGAATTCTGACTCTTTTTTTCCTCAAAATTCTGACTTTTTTTTCTCAGAATTCAGACTTTTTTTTTCCTCAGAATTCTGACTTTTTTTTCTCAGAATAGATAGATAAGACACTTTTTCAATATGATAAAACCATAAAAAAAAGCTCCGTCATTTAATTTCAAAGGCTCGGGAAATAGTCTTTCATTGGTAGATCATATTATATTCCTGCTCAAGTTAATGTTTTGAGTTTTTAGGTCTGTTTTTGCAGTACCTTGCATTTAGTGTCTCGGCTGGGTTTTGGGGAAACCCGGGTTCTTTTAATCGAAGACAAATGCTTGTCTGGATTGTTCAGTTTTGTTGTCTCTCATCTTCATCCAGTTTCCATTTAACAAAATTAAGTTCTGTTTAGGATTCAGGTTGGGCCTATAATATTCAGGCCAGCGATGACATATCCATCAAATCCTTCAATTAAACTAAAAATATACTTATGGATATACTTAATAGACTACTATATACTTAATAGCATTATAGGGGTTCCTTCAACCAGTTATGTTGGCTGAAGGCAGGAAGGATCTCCTCTATCGGTTTACAGCTAATATTAAGAGGTGTCTGACTGAAGACACCTCTTCTCTGTTGGTTCTTAGGGTGATGTTCTTCATTTTATACAACATTATTGTAATGTTATTATTATTAGACTCTTTTTCATTTTTTAAATATATCGTATCGGGTACAGGAGTGCCAAAGCTCATGAAGTGCAGCAGCTGTAGGCCACGTCCTGTTTATGTCAGTCTGGATTAAACCAGATAAAACCTTGAATTTTACTCTTACAGAGACTTGCATGGGATTTACTGCACAGTCCTTTTATTCCTTGTACATGTTGCTTCAGCACTTTTTCCTTCCACTCAACTTTCCTTTGAAACAACCAACTTCTGCAGCATCCATCTCTTCGCTTTGTCTTTCCTGTGGTAGTGTAGTAGACCCCAACATTTCTATGTTCAGGTTCTTCCTGTTGTCCAGATGGATAATTTATGTTATTTAAGATTATGTTTTTTGTTTTTGTTTTTTGTAAACTTTAAGCCATAATTATTAACATAGATTTCGGCCATTATTTCTTAAGCACGTAAAGATTTTAGTGAGATGTTTTGCTAAAAGCTAATCTGGTCCCCTTTGTTTCCAGATGTTCAACCAGTGGAGTATGAGGAGCCGAGCCACTGGTGCTCTATTGTCTACTATGAACTAAACAACCGCGTCGGAGAGGCCTACCACGCCTCGTCCACCAGCGTGCTCGTGGACGGCTTCACCGACCCCTCCAACAACAAGAACCGCTTCTGCCTCGGACTGCTGTCCAACGTCAACCGTAATTCCACCATCGAGAACACCCGCAGGCACATCGGCAAAGGTGCGAGCGTTCGTTCGAATCGGCCACGTCCCTTTTTCTACCCGCGGTCATTAAGCCCATGTTTCTGTCTCACCAGGTGTGCACCTGTACTACGTGGGAGGAGAGGTGTACGCAGAGTGTCTGAGCGACACCAGCATCTTTGTCCAGAGCCGTAACTGTAATTACCACCACGGCTTCCATCCCACCACCGTGTGTAAGATCCCAAGTGGATGCAGCCTGAAGATTTTTAACAACCAGGAGTTTGCTCAGCTCCTGACTCACTCGGTGAATCACGGCTTTGAGGCCGTGTACGAGCTCACCAAGATGTGCACTATAAGGATGAGCTTTGTCAAGGTGGGGATGCCTTCACCTGCTCTCATTATGGAACATTTAACACTTCTGAGTCATCATTCCTAATGATTTGTTTGTTTTGTTTTGTTTTTCCTTAGGGCTGGGGAGCAGAGTATCACCGACAGGATGTGACCAGCACCCCCTGCTGGATTGAGGTGCACCTGCACGGGCCTCTCCAGTGGCTGGATAAAGTGCTGACACAGATGGGTTCACCTCTGAACCCCATCTCCTCTGTGTCCTAATAACAGACTTCTGGGAGCTTAGAAGACCTTCTACCTTTCTGTTTTCTATTATCGTTTTTATCTTTTTAACCTCCCCTCCTTTACCATCATTTGTAATTTAAAGCTGTCTTACAGGCTGAACTGTTTACACTTACCTTTGGAAGGGATGTAAAACTCTCACAGGAAACGATCAACAGTCTCAGCTAGAATCCAGTTCATATATGTAATAAAAAAAAAACAAATGTTGCAAGAAAATATCTTGAGGAAAACCCAAGTTACACCACCATGGACACACTACTGCTCGACAATGCTGCAATGTAGAAGAATTTAGGTCTGAATCCTTCAGAGGATGATTAGACATTGGTTACATTCATTCTTTTTTGTTTTGTTTGGATTTTTTTTCTTTTTTTTTTTTTCTTTATTTGTAGTTTATAATTGAGCAGAACAGTTTCCCCACTCTGCTTTTTCTACCAGAGAATTTGAAATTTTTTGAAACACTTTTCTTGTTTCTTACATTGTCGTTTCTGTGTCGGTTATTTCAGTTAAGATATAGAAACAAACATGTTTACCGTTAGACTCTGATATAACAAATGCTTTTTTTAGTCTCTACTGCTAGAAATGAACACTGAGCTACTGCTTTTAAAAAAGTTCTGTATGCCAATGTGATAGTTTTTTTTTCTTTTGATATGGGAGATCACTGAACAAGATTAACATGCCATAAGCTAACATTGCTAATGTTACATCTGTTGCCATAGAGGTAGGTATGGTGAAACCACAGAGTGAGCACCACCATTATTGAGGCTTGTTTGTACTTGCAAGTTTAAGTAAGAGTGGCTGTTTTTTTTTCCAGACTCACTGTATTAACAATATTGTGCACTCATAGGTTTTGTGGAGGCATATTAAATTTTGGCTTGGGTACCAAGGCATTATGTTAATTTACTTTGTTAGCTCAATAAAATAAAATGGTATTTCTTAATAGTTGTTTTGCTTCTGTGCTCCAGTGAAGTTTAATTCCCTGTTTGATGTAACACTATTAATTGTTTTACTCATTAGAAACTGTTTTTTTTTTATATACCACGTCATCCTCAAGTTCTTAATTCTAATTCAATTAATGTGACTGATTAAAATACTGAAAACTTTTGAGACAATCTAATCCACAAATACAGCTTCCATACAAGTAAATAAAAATGTGATTCCTTTGTATTTAAGTTTTCACTGTTCAATCAAGCAATTATTTATACTGATATCAACATCCAAGAAGTTACTTAAGAATATCTAGATCTTATATATAAAAATCAGGGAAGAAAATACAAGTATTTGGAGTTGAATATTTTAGAATCACATCAAAGTTGATAAGTAACCTTTTAAAGTGGAATAACATCTAAAAGTGGAGAAGGATCATTATAAACATAGAAAAGACTATTTTACATAAAATAAAGGCCAGAGACCTTAAAGTGCAATGAAAATGAAGCTGAACCGTAAACAGCTGCAAGTGAAAATTCCGTTCTAGAAAAGGCAGAAATGTTTATATATATATATATGTATATATCATGTTTCGTTAGGCAGACGATTCAAAGTCCTGTACATGATAGGCAAACAGAGGGAAAGCTTCATTGCAACATAATAAAGAACATAACGGAAAAAGGCAGGACTTTAAAATGCTAAGTTGGGACAGTCGAACGGCGATAAACTTTATCTGGATTTAAGGGAACTTTGTTTCAGCGCTTTTATAGTTTCCTGTTTTTAATACAAATGAATAAAAGGCTAACAGCACTTCATCTTTGCATTAAAAAAAACACAATTGTTTCCACTTTTCTCACAAATTTCAGAGAAGATCTTGTTTCTGTATTTCTGTATCAATTTAAACATGACAAACACATCAGATTTTAGCAGTTTCACCCAAATACTGCCCATGGGTGTCATATTGCTTTTGAAAGTACCCCAGTGATACATTTTCTTTTCTTTTTTTAACCTAGTAATTTTTTTTTATGCTTAAAAGGAAAATAAATATTTGTTTATATATTTGTTTCTTTGGAATGTATTAAATCACATCAAGTAATAATGCCATAGCCTGCATCACAGTACGTCAATAGCTTCCTGGAGCTAATTTTAAATTCAAATTATGGTAATAAATGAACCATTGTTTTTGGATGTCTTGAAAAAGATTTATAAGTTCAGACAGTGGTGCTAACAGAAAGCCAAAGCTTCACCAGCTAAGGCTATGCAACCTGTTTTAGTAAGAGACATTTCAATATAGTTTCTTATATCTTTAAATCAACATATGAATTTGATTTAAAAAAAAAAAAACAATGCACAAAAGGGTAAAACAAATTATGCAGTGTGAATGAGACAAATTATTGTGCTTCAAGGGTAAATTAACCAATAATATTACAATTAAGAGCACAATAATGTGTTAAATAGCTTAAAATAAACACAAATCCAACTACATTGATGACCTTATGCTTCAGCTCTCCAGATTTAAAGCCCCTCCTTGAATTGCCATTTCATTGTAGAGGGGTTTTAATTTCTGGGATGATCCGAGGTCTGGGCTGGACTGGGACTAAAAAATGGCTTTTTTTTTACCTCTGTGGCGCACCATGATTAGTTATACTAGAAAGATTGAGCAGCTCCCCCATTTCCCCCCAGTTACCCCTGACCAGAGCTGCACCACCAAATTCTGCACCCTGTACTCTCAGTCAGTGAGACTCTATCCATGCCTGTGCAGAAGATCTGTGAGTAAAAAATTAATTAATACAGAGTCAAGACCAACCCCACCGCCTCACTTCATGTCGCCATAAAATGTGAAACATAATCAAAAGTCCCTTTCAAATAATCTGCATTCATATAGGAACTAGAAGAAGTGAAACCAATGTAATCCTCCAATAGTCATGTATAAAGTTTTCACTTCACTTTTTATTTATTTATTTATTTTTTTTGTATAAATGTACATCTTTAAGTTATCTGTGAAAACTCTCAGTCATCCAGGTCATGGTCAAGCTTGAAACCCACTAGAACACAAACAAGGCGTCATCAGAACCGAGCGGAAACCATTCCCACCACCAACAGAGGGATGGTGAGAGAACAGGGACATATGAGGACAGCCCTGAAGAACTGTGGTTATCCCAGATGAACTTGTTTTTTTACACCAACCTGAAGAGGCCTGCTGGGAGGGAAATAAACAGTAGAAGGAACATTGTCATTCCATATGTTGCTGGGGTCTCTGAAAAACATCCATCACCGGATCCCTGAGCAAATCAAACCAGGGAACACCCTGAGACAAAAACTGGTTCACCCTAAAGACAACATACCCAGACACAAGGCCGACAACGTGCTTCACGCCGTCCAGGGTAGTGAATAGTGCACAGACCTTTACACTGGAGATACCAAACATCCAATACACAGACGCATGGCTCAACACAGGAGGGCCAAGTCCTCAGGGCAGGACTCAGCTGTTCACCTACACCTGGAAGCTAAAGGACACTCATCTGAGGACAGCAACGTCTATATTCTGGCCAGGGAAGACAGATGGTTTGATAGAGGAGTTAAGGAAGCCATCTTTGTTGTTGGGATAATTATCATTGAAGATGTGTCAGATTATTACACCTTGGTATTGGCTGCCTATTGCGAGTCAGAACTGATGTTTTAATCTAATTAGGACTTTTCCTCTGTCCGGATATACAGTTATAATCTCCATTCTGCACGTGGCAAAGATTTGGAAATGGAATTAGAGCAGTGTCCTTCAGCAAAGAACAAACTGTAATATTTTGATAAGGCTGGAGCCATGGATGTCTAATCATCTGCCAACCTGTATCATGTAAAATAAGATGATGCAGCAGACTGGAGATGTATAAAATGCCTTTTTAACTGTTTATCTGGGCCACTTCCTGAGAGATGAGCCCAGAGGTGAGCAGCTGCCTTCTGTAAACTCTAAGCAACTTCACTGATCTGAGTCTTACGGAAGAGGATTAGGGCCACTGAAAAAATAAAAAAAGTTTACTTGTTTTTTATTTTTTTTTCGTTTTATTTTGGGGAAAAAAGTTCGGATTTTTGCCTTTTTTTTCGGTTTTCGGCTTTTTTTTTCGGATTTTTACTTTTTTTTTTCGGAATTGGGCTTTTATTCTCGTTTTTTTGCTTTTTTTCCCTTTTTAACTTGAATTAAATTTTAAAATTTTTTTACTTTTTTTAATTTTTTCAGTGTCCCTAATTCTCTTCTGTATAGTCTGTTGTCATGTCTCCTGGTTATTTAATACATATAAGTTATGAATTGTTATTTAAAGAGTCTGTCTCGAGTGATCTGTTTTCAGGGAAAAGAATCGGAGAGATAGAGCATCAGGGTGCATAAACAGAGTCTATCTTTTGCAGTGTTAACCTGTGAAAGCCATCTCTCAAGAGAGGAGGTGGTCTTAGACATAACCTGTTACATACTTACATGTCCTTTGTGGATCTTAGGAGGCCAATTTACTTTGTCCCTCATGGTGCCCTGTAGGGCAGCAGGAAGTCGATGGCCCTTTCTGGCTCTGTAACAACAGGACAGGGGTCTGGTCTGCGTCCAACATAGACCAGTATATTTTTTGCAGATGAGATGGTTTTGCTGGCTCCCTCCTGCCAAGACCTACAACTACTAAAATATTTAATAATAATTAAACTTTTTGATCTCAAATTGGAGAAATTCACCTCTGAATTTAACCATCCCCTTGGGGAGCAATGGGCTGCCATCATGGGGCACCTGGGGAGCAGTGTGGGGTTAAGGGTCTTATGCAGAGACCCAGAGTTCGAACTCAGAACCTCAGGATTCCAAGCTCTATGCCCTAACCCCTAGGCCGCCACTCCCCAACATTTTCACAACATATTCCAGATTAATGACAAATAATTGCAAAATTTTCCTTTAGAGATTTTGATTGTTCAGATTTGTTCATCAAGCAGACACTCCATTAGTAAGTTTGCAAAGACACATCCAGATGTAGATGATGGACAAACTTGAGGTGGCAGGAGAAAAACAGCCTATTTCGAAGTGATGATAACGGAAATTATTATTATATTACTTTATTCTTTGACAAGTGTAAAAATATATGCAGGTTGTAGCAGGCCTATGTTTTATTTTGTGATTAGAAAATCCTGAGTGAGGTTATCAGATGGTGCAGCTGGAATCAGAATGTTTTCAACTTTCCCATTTAACCCTTTATAAGGCAAGTTACCATTTTTGATCACTGGCATACCCCTTACAAATGGAAACGCACCCCCTCCCTCAGTGAGGTCTAGAAGCGCAAGATCTATATCCAGGCATTCAGCAAAGATGCTGCTACATGGCTGTACATCTTGTATTTGACCAATTAGATGAGCCCTTAATTGATATATTACCTACTGTAAATTAAATTGAAAAAAAAAGTTAAAAAGTCAAGAAAAAAAGGTAAGTCGCTAATTGAAAAGATAAAAAGTTAATAAGCCTAGTTAACAATTATATTCAGGTTTATAAACTATAAAATGTAAGTGCTAGTATCAGCATTAATGCCTCTAAGGTTATGTTGTACCAAAGAAAATGTGTTTCTTTCACTTTTCATGAATTTCTTATAGACGCTCTTTTGTTATTTCTCTTTATATATTCAGGCAACTTCTTGTTATTATATTGAGATTAATTTTTACCATCCAAATATCCATATTTTTGAATGTTACAAAGGTAATAAGGTATTGCCCTGGATTCCAATAACACTATTGGCTTGAAATTTAGATTTTCAAAGAATTTCACTGAGTGCCCTATAAAGTGAAAAAAATAAAAATAAAAATCAGTTTCTAATTCCTATACAAAATAGATTCATTTGCTGAGGCTCTGTGCTTGAATGCGCCTCATTTGGCTGTGAGATCCTGATCACTTCCTATTGGTCCACGTTTATATTTACCGTAAAACCCAGAAAACAAAGGTGCGCAATACGTCACCCCAAGTAAAAGTACTAAAAATAGGAAAGCGAATGCTAATTTGAAGTAAAAGATATTCACCGTGCCCTTTTCCCACATATTTGGAACTTAGCTGCTGGATGTTAAACATTCTGCATGCTTGTTGCGTGAAAAACAAAAAGCCGTTGCGTTAAATCACCGTAACAAC